AATTTACAGCCAATTTTGAAAGAGATGCATCTTAGCTCTGGAAATTGTTATTGAATATGTCAATGCTGTTGTAATGAAATGCTTCTTCTAATTATATGGTTATTAAATAAATAATTTTTAAAAAATTAGTCAGATGAAAATGTTGTTTTCCAAAACAATTTCTTTTATGGGACACAGGGAGGCACCAAGACAAAGTCTTACTCTGTAGCCCAGGCAGGCCTTAATCATATTACATGCCCTAGACTAGCCTCACCTTGGAGTGATCTTCCTGCCTCAACCTCTCAAGTGTTGGGATTCCATTTGTAGGCCACAAGGCTTGTTAAATGGACAGTCTAAATGAGGAAGGTAAGAATGAACACCTTACAGTCCCAATATGGAGGTGTGGGAGTAGAAGGGGTTCAAACATTATTTTCAAGCCATACTCCAGCCTCCTTTCAGTATATCCACAGCTAAACACTGTCAAAATGTCCTTTTATGTAAGGACACAAACACCTAACAACAAACAAAAGCCAAAGCCAGCCTCCCATCAGTTACTGAAAACTATTGAAAATGATGAGCTGTCCTGACCCACATGTATGAGTCAGGTAAGTCTAAGAGCCCAACAAGCAAGAAAGGGACCTCATTGCTAACTAGCTCAGATAAACTAACTTGATGACACTGAAGACTGCCTAATAACTATCTCAGTCTTTGTTAAATTAGCCATCTACATTTTTATGTAAGAAATGGAGCAAACATTTCTGAAATATACAGTTCTCTAAGTGTAAAGACATTCATTATTCCCCTTTTGAGTAAAAAGTGCATACTGCTCCTCTCATCAAGACAAGGGACACATTCTAACCCATGTCATGCAAGCATTTGTGATCAGTCTTGAAGTATTTTTGTATTTAACATGAAGCAGCATGACCTTTGATTCCCTCCCTGTGGCTGTTGCTCTCCTCTGAAGAGCTGTGCTTTCTATTACATGCTGTCATTCAGATTCACTCTGTCATCCCTATTATTAGAATTGTTTTGTTGTACACTTCACAATTCAAAAGAATGGTGGTTATGAGACTACCTTATAATCAGCAAAAAGTTTACCAAGCTCATCAAAATTAACCCTCATAAACACACAGAAAAGAACTCACTTGACAAACATCAAGGGGCCAGCCCCTAGATATGAAAGAATCTTTGAATATGCAGGAGACTGACTCAAGTTTTCACGGGCAATTTCTGATGTCAAGACGACTCAGAAACATTTAAAGATGCACAAGGATGTACACGGGCATGTCAGTGTAGGTAGAAAGAAGAAACCAGCAGAAAAGGAATCCAGAAATCACCATTTAAAACATGTACAGCTTTTTTCAAATATGGTATTAATTAGTTACCAGACTTTAATCAAGTTAAAATACATTCAGGTTTTAAACGGGGTAAGTACAAACCATTCAGTCTTTACAATAAAGAAGTATTAGCCTTGAAAGATTAAATTCCAAATCACTAATTTTCGTATGACTTACTTCTTACATGGAGTCTACATTTGTGAATGAAAATGGAATGGACTGTCTCAACACAACTCAGAGGACAAACCCGGTAATTACTCCCCATAATCCCAACTCCCAGAGAGTGCTGAGCTACTCACTTTAGCAGCACTAATGACTGTGGCGGTGTAAGACTGAATGTTGTCTCCACAGGCTCCACCACGGGACTGATGACATCGAATCAACTGGGGTAAGAGAGAGCAGAACACCAGAGTCATTTTCTATTAAACTGTTTAACTCTGCATGCTATTAGATAGTGCTTATTTACCATGCATAACAATGACGGTGAGTGGGAATGTTTGCATGAGTGTATTTCAGACAAAACAGCTAAAAGCCCTGCTGAGACACGTTTAACCTTTTTTATAATCTTCTGGTGCCACTCAGGCAGTTTCATGCTCAACTATGGTTTTAATTACACAATGAATAGGCTTTAAGAATTCATAAACTCTGAAATGGGAGGATTGAGGGTCTGGCAGCCTTTCCACAAATAAATTTAAAAAACATAATCAAAGGACTTACACATAACTTCCTAACATTAAATATTTGACATGCTAGCAAATTGGATGTTTTCTCCTCTTAATTCCTCTACAAAGATTAAAAAAGGAAACAAAAAAGCAGACAAAACATTTTAGCATATTTGCATTTCCAATTGTGTCAGTGGAAAAGTGGAAAGAGTGTGCATAAATCAACTACCACACATACATTAGCTGTCCGCGTCAGAGAACCACTGCATTTATGGCTCAGAATGGAAAGACATTCTTTCATTTGTGCCTACCAAGAACAAAGCAAACGGCAATCCTCAGTATGAGTCATTGCTTTGAATCCCAACTCTGATTCTCACATGCTAGGCAATACCTTAGAATCAAATTCTTTACCTACACTTACAGCCCCCCGCCCAAAATGATTACTACAATTTATATGCTACATTCCTAAAGAAAATGACAACAGTAGAGAATCAGAACAGCATGACACTGTGACAGAAGCAGCGCCCCCTGCCCCCAAAATCTTCATCTAAAAAAGGCCTCTCTAAGCTAAAACCAGGTTTGATGATGAAGATTAACATGAAATCCTTTTATTCCTAACTCACGTTTTCTTCATCACTATTTTTCTTAAGTCCCTCAAAATAATATTAAAATTACAGACTGATACACCTTAAAAGCATGGTACGTGATGCCATGCTATTTCAAGGTGGTTCATCAGTTTGTCATAGGGTAAAATGTGGAACTGGAAAGTGATTCTCTAGCTAATAAAAAGAATCTCTCATTCACTGAACCACAAATCCACATTCAAATAATTATGAAAACTATCCCTCTGCTGCCTCCTGCTGTACAAGCAAAGAAAGGCAGTATTGTAGAAAGGCCACAATCTAGTCCCTGCTACAGACTGTCAAAATATTCAAGGACACCAAGGTGCCCTTTGGTCAATGAGCCATCTCACTAGCTCAACCAGAATACATTATATGCATGTTTGAAATTGTCAAAGAAAAAATAAGTTATGTAAAAATAAAGCTTTTTATATTAAAATCAGACTAAAAAAATTCTATGGCAATTATATAAAAATAACCAGTACTTAGCCAGGCGTGGTGGCGCACACCTATAAGTCCCAGCACTTGGGAGGCAGAGACAGGTGGATCTCTGTGAGTTCAAGGCCAGCCTGGTCTACATAGTGAGTTCCAGGCCAACTGGGGCAACAGGGAGACCCTGTTTCAAAAAGACAAAAAATAAATAAAAATAAACAAAAATAACCAATACTTTTAGCTCTTCAATCTGACTACACTGAGTCAGGATTCATACATGAAAATATGGACCAAAACAAAACATACAAAAATTACACTTCCATCTTGGCTCAACAAAATTACATATGAACTGGCATTCTCACTAGTCCAAAATTTTATCAAATGGACCAATTTCCAGGAAATAATCTTAAGCAAAATGATTATCCAAAAAACAATATGAAAGGGAAATATAAATCACTACATATATTAAACACAATAATACATAAATAAAATATTAATGTATAAAGAAATATGCAAAAAACACACATCCAGTGGAAGTATAATCAAAGTGAAGGAAAGGATGAATGACAAACAAATGAAAGTAACTTATGAAGGAGAGATGGCTCAGCAGATAAAGGCACTTGCCACCAAGCCCCAGAACCTGAGTTAAATGTTTGGAACCCACACGGTAGAAGGACTAAGTTGTCCTCTGGTCTCCACACACATGCCATGGCACCGTTCATGTACCCATGGGCAAACATAAACACAAATAAATAATAATAATAATAAATAAATAAATAAATGTAAGAAGTAAAAATTTTATAAATAATCTATGAAGATGAATGTTTAACGAACACTTGCAGGTTTAAGACAGCAATGACAGTAGATATCAAGAAAAAAATTCTAAATCCAGTTTGCCTATTGAAGTGGTATGGGTGAGTAATTCTACAACTATTTTTTGTACTCTAGGAACGAACAGATGAATAAATGCACCGACATCAGAGTCTATTCTGCAAAGGAAAGGCCAAATGAATATGAAGGGATCAAGAAGGGATAAAGAACATGAGGAAAAGGGACAGAACATGGTGAAAGTAGCAGTGTGAATGTCTGATTTCTACATCACATAAACACATACATATATATATCAGTATACAGATATGTGCATGTGTTATGTTTTCCAATTTTCTATGCATGTATGCATTAGGTGATCTACTGAAAAGTTCTAGAAAAAAAATACAGGTCAGTAACAAGGATCACACCAACAGGACAAAGCTGACTTTCTAATTACAGTGCACACTAAAAAGAACCAGAATGGGTTGGGCAGAAGGCTCGGTGGGTAAGAGAGCTTGCTTGCAAGCCTGAAAACCTTAGTTTAGATGCCTAGGGTCCATGTAAAGAGCTGGGTATGGCCTCACATGCACATGGGAGCCAACAGTGTGAGGGTGAGACAGCAGCAGCACTGGAGCATGTTGGCTGCCAGCCTAGCTCCAGGTTCAGTGAGGGACGCTCTCCCAAAGAATAAGCTAGAGAGTGATAAAGCAGGACATACAACATCGTCCTCTGGCCTCCTCAAGCAGATGTTTGTGGGCACACATACACACATATGTACGTATACCACACAAATCCAAAAAGACAGAGCCAGCGACCGACAGACAGACAGACAGACAGACAGACAGACTAGAAAAAGGAATGTAGCAGATGGATCTAAAGCTAAGGCTGGGAAAGGACAGATGAATTGGACATACTTTGATGCAAAACACTAAAAGATATTTTTGTTTTGTTTTGTTTTGTTTTGGTTTGGTTTGGTTTGTTAAATGGGGAGCGTGTGTCATAAGGCCACAGTAACTACCCTGAAATGTTTCCACTGCTCAACTGTGGGACAATGTGAACACTAAAATAATTAAATACAATAACCTTGTCAAGGTATAGTCTAATTTACATATTGAGTAAAAAATAAATTTTTAATCATGATTATTTTGAATATATATATAGGGGGGAAGTATGTTATCCTGGTTATATTTCCGTCATATACTTTGGACCAGAACTATCTGGGACTTCACAACAATACATCTGAAGTCACAGGACACATGCCTCTCCTTTTTAGGTGACATTAACTTTACAAGACAACGCAAAATTTAAAAAATCATTATATTAGGAGGAAAACACCTGAAGTTAGGGAAGGTGGTGCATGCCTGTGGTCCCAGTACTCTTGAGGCTGAAGAGGAAGATGGTTTGAGAGCAGCCTAAGTAACACAGTTAAGACAGCATCTGAGAGCAAAAACACAAACACAAAACAATAGCAGAATAAAAAAAATACTGAGGACAGAGGAGGTTCTATTCTTCAGAAATGTCAATAACATAAAGGAAGAAAAACAGATTAGTCCATATTTTAAGAGTCTCAAGGAACACAGCAACAAAATCTGATCACTTGTCCTAGACTGAGAAAACTGGCATATGAATGGTAGACTGAAGTTTGCCACCACCACCACCAGCATAGCCGACAGCACCACAGAGCCGACATGCACCAGTTACTGTTTCTACTATGATCACTGCTACAAAAATTTCAAGTTAAAACTATTTCTTAAAGTTTGGGTGAAAAAAAATCAAGATTCATGGGGCCTAGAGAGATGCCTCAGGTGTAAAGTGATTATTGCACAAATGCAAAGACATGAATCTGGATTCCCTAGCACCCACATAAAAGTTGGATAGGGTAGCAGAGGCAGAAGGATCCCTAGAGCTTGTTGCCAGATACTCTTGTTGAATCAGGGAGCAAAAGGTACAGTGAGAGACCCTGTCTCAAAAACCAGAAAGCAATAGAAGACACCTGACACCAACCTCTAGCTCCATACCATATGCACACACATGCATATATATACAAACATACACACCACCCCTATACATAATCTGCACAAAAAAAGATTTATGACTTTGTATTTAAGATTTTATGCCTAACAAAGCATTTTCGCTGAATGAGAATCCTCTTCCAAAATCTAATCTAAATTTGCAATGTCACACAAGGCCTCAAAGCTATAATTATCAGAAGAAACTGATAATACTAACTTTTATGTAAACACTGTCATTTACAAATCTTTCTGTGCATGATGGCACATAAATACACTGTTTTGTCCCTGTATATGACACAAAGCATTATTCACCTGTGTTTCTGCAAAGGCTCAGCACTGTCACATACCCAGGCCAGGCATCTATGAAGGAAGTTCATTCCCCTCAAAAACAGTATTTCACTACACCTCCCATTCCAAATGGGCAGTTTTCCACTTGTGAGAATACTTCTGCAAGAGCCAAAGGACGAGTTACACGCTTTCTTCTGGGATGTCTCCAGCACTCAAGAGAAATCTTTATAGATATAAACATTAGGAGGCACCATTATATCACCGCACTCAATTGTATGGCTCTTGTCTTGTTTGAAAAGAGTAATTTGAAAAGAACAATTTTATGAGCTATATGGAAAAATGAAGAGACCAAACAAGAAGGAGTATAAATAGAGCACTCAATAACATGCAAAATGCCTTAATTTTTACAGACAGGCTTTTAGAAAAGGGATTAAGGAATTCATCTAGAAAAATGATTTTCGTCAGTAGTTTCCTGATTCTGCGCATTCCAGAGGCCAATGATTTGCTAGTTCTGTGGCTTCACTGAGTGCTCACTTTCCTTACCACATCCTGATTTTGTCAAGAACTATTTTTTATTATTTCATAATATTCTCAAGATACAATAACCACGTAACCAAGAAAAATGAAACAAAAATGCTAATCTTTAAAGCCTGCAATAGTTTTTAGATTTTCTTCTATATTCACAGGCAGAGTGCTAAACGGCACAAAAAGAAATTTTTATCTCCTTTCATAAAATATAAACTTATGGTATTCCCAAGATTGCCCATTAATAAAACTTTTAAAAATAAAAGCATATCCCAGCACTCGGGAAGCAGAGGCAGGCAGATCTCTGTGAGTTCAAGGCCAGCCTGGTCTACATAGTGAGTTCCAGGACAGCTGGGGCTACAGGGAGATCCTATCTCAAAAAAACTTAAAAAAAAAAAAAAGCATAAATAAGGCCATAGCAAACATAGAAAACAAACTTGATAAATAAGGGTTTTTTTTTTTTAAAGTCCAACAAGATATCAGCATGTGTGATTTAATTATTGAAACAAACATTTCATTATGGAAACAAAGATATTAGCATGTGTGATTTAATTATTCAAACAGTTTGGATCTGGTTATTGGCCACATAAGGTCAATTAAATGGTTCTCTGCCCCATGAAGATAGACGTCACTCTTATTGCCTGCTTTCTACATTATTCACAGAAATTGCCATCTCTTCATTACTGTTGCTGTGGTGATTAATCTTGATGCTGTACTTTAATATTAAGTATTAACTAGGTGAGATCTCAAGACAGAAGTGAGCCTAGAACATGGGGGTTCTACCACATCTTGATTTAAGGACAGCTATCAAAAGCTGATGGATTCTTTTTCTTTAATATTTTATTTATTATTTTTATTTTATGTGTACTAGTGTATTGCCTGAATGTATCTGAGTGCACCCGTGTCATGCAATGCCGTGGAGGTCAAAAGAGGGCTTCAGATTCTCCTGGAACTGGAGTTAAGGACGGTTCGTAGCCACCATGTGGGTGCTGGGAATCCAGCTGGGGTCCTCTGCAAGAGCAGTCAGTGCTCTTAATTGCTGAGCCATCTCTCCAGCCCCCAAAAGCTTATGGATTCTTAAGACATAGTGGTGCATACCCCTAATCCAGAACGTGGGAGGCAGAGCCAGGAGTATCAGGCAGTCAAGGCTAGCCTGGGCAACATGAGATTTGGTCTCAAAAGTAAAAAGAAAAGTTTTTTTAAAACAAGGTCTCTCTATATATGACTGGCCTGGAATATGCGATGTTGATGGACCAGGCTAGCCTCAATCTTGAGATGAACATCCTGCTACTGCCTCCTAAGTGCTGAGATTATGTACCACTAGGCCCAGCTATGAATTCTTAAGAGAGTCAAGTTTTGGTTGTATGATTACAACCAAACTGAATTAAATATTCATTGTTGGTTTTTGCCAAAAAAAAGTCCACATGTCTACTATAAAAAGTCCTTACACACTTGCTCCATTACAACTGACCCAAACCTGGACCATGTCTTACCTTGTTCTCTGCATAGGCAAGCCAGCGGCTCCCAAGAGCAATAGGATTCATGTTTGGCCCAGGACAAGGATAACAACCTGAAAGTTCCAAATGGCAATGTTCAGAAATTGCACAATAACTTTTCTGTACTGCATCATATCTTAATGCCAGAAAAACAAAACAATAAAATGCTTATTTTTTCAAATCTCATGAAATTTAAATAATGATAGTCATTATTTTAAAGGTTAAATGACTCGCAATTTTTTTCCTTCTCTATTTACTTTCCTCATGTATGACTCCTGCTCCACTGAAGGAACAAACTTGGGAAGAACCAGTTATCGCTTTTTTAGTAAACAGGTGCTTATGCTGTTATTCCAGAACAAGAGAATGAAGTTATGAGGAAATGACTTAAAGTTCCTAGGTCTGAAGTTTATAAACTAAAAAGGAATGTTAGGAGAGAAAAAGAAAGTGTATGATGGGATCAGGAAGTTAAGGGCAAGAGATAAACTACACTAACAAACACATCTGGAAGAAAATGAAGCTTCCTTGAGGGTGGAAAAAAGAAGTGCGAAGATGTGGGGCCAGTGAGCACAAAGCCCTAGAAGGATGGCTCAGCAGGAAGATGCCAGGAAGCAGACAGGAGATTTTACATTCGCACTCTTCTTCCACCGTCTTCCAGGGCCAGCTAACAACACCAACAGATGCCCCTGTGACATGCTTATTGTTTATTCAGTGTCTATCTTCTTGAGACTTGATAGAGAAGTATGCATAGTTAAGGATCTGGGTCCCATCTGTTCACTGCTGCATTTGCACTGCCTAGTCTCTGGGAAACTGTGAGATTAGTGTTTTTGGTGAATACATATTATGGTGGCATATATAAGACAAAGACACACTGAAAACTGCACAAAAAACAACACATCTTAACATACATACCCTGCTATTCACAGTGTGTATTTATATAGTAGACTTGAGTAAGCTAGCATTAGTCACATGAAAATGTTAGATTTGAATAGCAGCATTACATTAGAGGTAGCTAATCTCTTGACTTAACTTTTATAGTCAAAGCAGGGAGGCGGAGGCAGGAAGATTAGGAGTTGCAGGCCACCCTAGACTAAAGAGCGCATTCAAGGCCAGTCAAGACTACATGGGACCTTATCTTTTAAAAAAAAGAAAAAAAGAAAGAAAGAAAGTCAAAAGAACCTAGCTTCCAATCAACTCCCATAACTAGTTCAACTGACATTAGATGTTACTACATACATTCTCTTTTCCACATGTGAACAGATCCTGAGGAAGACACAGCTTACAATTCCTCAATTTATTGAGTCAAAGTTTTTTTAGAAATTCAGTGGACCTCAGGAATTACAGGGGAGTAGAATGAAAGAAAATTATTTTTCTGCTTACCAAAACAATATTTTATAGCTGGCATCAGCAGAACATCAGCTGTGAAGCACTGTCCTGGCCTAATAAACATGACTCCTTTAAAGATTAACCATGGCCTCCAGCTAAACTCTGAAAACAAGACCTGAATTTCTGTAATGCTAAGAACAATTCTAACATGTTTACAGTGCCTTCTAACAAAGTGAGCAGAGAAAACTGGATATTAGCAGAACTCTTCTGGGTTTCCAATTTAAATGAAGGTGAAACTCAAGAACTATGTACCAATAAAGATTCTTACACAGCAGTCAAACAATCTCAGGACTCAGAAGGCTGATGCGGGAAGGTTGCTTTAAGTCTTAGGCCAGCCTGAGCTATACAGTCTTGCATGAGTAAAGAATTTAAAAAGCTCATGCAAGTGATGCAGTTTTACTTGGCATCAGCCCAGGAAGTTGTTCCTAACTTGAACACATTTGGAAAAATAAGACTTCACTACTCTCTGAGATACTCTGTCTTATTTTCTCTGGCAAGGACAAATGTGTACCTCATTTACAGTCAACTGATTTGTAACAAAGGGACTCAGACAAGTCAATGGTGAAAGAATGTTCTATTCCACAAATGGCACTAGAACCTACTAACTACACATACATGAAGACTTCACACTATGTGCAAAAATTACATCAGAATGGATATAATACTTAAAAGTGCAACATAAAGGGGCTGGAGAGATGGCTTAGTGGTTAAGAACACTGACTATTCTTACAGAAGACCCAGGTTCGAATCCCAGCACCCACATGGCAGCTAACAACTGTCCGTAACTCCAGTTCCAGGGGATCCGACAGCCTCTTCTGTCCTCCATGGGCATTGCACGACACGGGTGCACTTACCTACATGCAGGCAATACACACATACACATAAAATAAAAATAATAAATAAAATATTTTTTAAAAGTGCAACATTTTAAAGCAGTACATTTTCATGACCTCAGACCTGGCAAAATAGTCTCTTACATTTGACACTACACAGCTAGGGCTGAAAAAACTTTAGGACACCATCAAAAACATTTTTAAAGGGGCTGAAGAGGTGGGTCAGTGGTTAAGAGCACTTGCTGCTCCTCTAGAGGACCCAAGTTCAATTCCCAGCACCTACATCAGGCAGCTAACAACAGCTTGTTACTCTAGTTCCAAGGGATCTGACGCCCTCTTCTGGCCTCCATGGGCACCTGTACACCTTTGGCATTCACTCACACAGATACACAAACATACACATAAATAAAAATAACAAAAATAAATATTTTTAAAGTGAAGAGGCAACCTAAAGAATGGAAGATTATTTTTGTAGCCCATACAACAGGCAAGCAACTTATTTTATAATATAAAAAATCATGACAAATCAATATTGAGATACAATTTTTAAATGAACAAAGACAAATGGCAAATACACACATGAAAAGTAAGCAACATCACTGGGAATGAGGGAAACACAAATAACTTTAAAAATTTTGTAACCAACTGTTACATACCCAAGAGAATAGAAAACCTATGTCCACATAAAAATTTGTGCCTATACCAGATTTCATGGAAGCCTCACACATAGTATCCCCAAAATATATACAAACCAGGTACGGTGGCATACAACTTTAATTCCAGCACTTTGGGACAGAGGCAGGCAGTTCCAGGGCTACATAGTGAGACCTTGACTTTTAAAAAATAAAGTAGAAAGAAAGATTTTAATGCCAGGGTGGTGATACAGATCTTCAATCCCACCTCTTGGGCAGTAAAGGCAGGAAGATGAGGAGTACAAAGCCAGCCAAGGCTACACAGCAAGTTCAAGGACAACCTGGGCTATGGGACACCCTACCTAAATGATAATCAAGAAAAGAAATGAAGGCCTAATACATGCTGACAATGGCTGAAAGCTGATGGTCTATGGTCTGTCAGATACCAGTCATAAAGGACCACATGTTGTATGACATGTAGAAGATAATATAAACACAACCTCAGAAACACATACACTTTAAATATCAATTTGAGGGTTTATTTAAACATCATGCAGCTGACTAATGCAATGGTCCCTTTTAGATTCTAGGAGCTCTGAGGCAATTTCTACATGATTTCTTGTTTGTTTGTTGTGTGTATGAAACCTATCATGAACTGCAGAGCACTGCCATCCAAAATTCAGAAGGTGGGAATTATGTGTAAACAACAGAAAAGTCACAATTGAGTACATGTATTCATGGAGTTTCCTGTCCAGGCCCAGAAGCATCATAGCAGCAGTATCTAGCCTGTGAAAAGCCCAAAGATACAGGGTTAAGTTTAACCCTTAAATTTGCCCAATCCCATATGAACTTGCCAATCCTTCCTTGTAATATATTACAAATATGTGTCTTTTTAAAAATATTTTATTATTTTTATTTTATGTGTCTGAGTGTATTGCCTGCATGTATTTAAGTGCACCTGTGTTGTGCAATGCTCATGGAAGTCAGAAGAGGATGTCAGATCCCCTGGAACTAGAGTTACTGATGGTTGCTAGCCACCATGTGGGGTGCTGGGACTCGAACCTGGGTTCTCTGCAAGAGCAGCCAGTGTTCTTAACCATTGAGTCATCTCTCCAGCCCCACAAACATGTGTATTAACATAAAAAGCAAAGCTGTAGGGAATAGTGGTTCCACGCCAATCTGGGATAAAGCAGCAAGTCAATGTCTTCCCCAAAATGAAAAATATAATAAAGAAAGAAAGCAAACCCTTTTTACCACTTTCAACTCTGCATTTTTAAAGCTACTTTAAATGCATTTCCATGTGTTCCATGCGGTGTTCATCATTAACATAAACAAAGAACACACATTCCAAACACTAATAACATTAGGACTGTACAAAACAAATTTCCTCTTCAAAGTGAAAACAGGCAGATACAAAAAGACTGTTTATTGGACACCCTTTGGTCTCTCCAGAGACTTCCTATCTGACTTTCAACTTCAAAGAACCCTTAAAATGACTACTAATGACATCTATCGGTCTCTGTCTTTTGTTTTCCTAATCATACCTGGGTTTTGGATTTCCACATCAGACAGCTGCTCAAGACCAACTTTTCTGTATGTCCAAATACAAAGGTGTCTCCTTTCTCATCCTATTGGATGTGTTGTTAACAGTTCTCTATCAGCTCTCTTTACCTGTTCCATCCACCCTTTGGCACAAATTCCCATGATGCCTGTTCTGATGGACAGAGTCAGCTCTCCTCATTTTACAATACTTTCATTGTATCCATACATAGTGAAAGCCTTCAACTAAGAATCTATTATGCAAGAGCTTTCATTCTACCTCAGAAGTTAAATGTTTGCATGATCAAAACAACAACCTCATTAAGTGAAGATCTTGTGATTCTACTCAGGGGATAAGCCTACTTCTTTCAGAACTGAATACCAGGTTGTGGATGTTGCTCTATTAGTAGAGTGCTCACCGAGCATGAAACAAACTGTAGGCTTGATACCCAGCACTGCATAAACCGGGCATGGTAATCCATGCCTGCAATCCTAGCACTCCTCCAGAGATGGAGATGGGAGAATCAATTCCAGTCATCCTTGGCTACACAGTGAGTCTGAGGCCACCCTGGGCTACATGAAACTCTGTCTCAAAAAATGAAAAATAAAAAATACCCACTGGGTACCAATAAATGCAGACAAGACACATGGTACAGGCAAATAAGCTGCAGCAAACACAATCTCAGTATAGCCTGTCCAGTCAGCTCCTCAATCCCCAATCTCTCTATCAGTCAAAACCCAAACACAGAAAAATGCACATGATCTATGCCAAGTTTCAATGAGATAAAGGAAGTAGAGGAGATATGGACATTTAGAAATGAGGAAAGTAAGCTTCATTTATATTATGAAGTGGCATGGTTTGTTGCTTGATTTTCAGAATTTCATCACACTTTATTTGGTTTGAAATGTTTTTTGGTGGTAGCAGTGTTTTATATTTTGTTTTGTTTTCCAGAAAAAGTCTCACTCCATTACTGAGGCTAACCTGAAACTCACTGGGTAGCCTAGACTGGTCTCAGATTCACAGTAATCCGCTTGCTTCAGCCTCTCAAGTACTAGAATTTTAGGTAGGAGCCACCATGCCTAGCTGATCTGAAGTGGTGATATAAATCACATGGGTAAAGCTGTAGTTCAAAGATTCTAATTCTTTCTGAGTGTCATCAATCTTACCAACTTCAAATTGCATGCCTAAACTCAATCCCTAGAGTTTTCAAGTTAAATAGAATAGCCTGTAACTGAGAACAACATGCTTCCTAACTGAAATATGAGAAGAGACATATTACTATTACTAGAAGGGGAATTTACTAATGAAGACTAGGTAGGAGTATAGTGAAAGGCTTCAAAAATTACTATTCACAAGGGTTAGAGAGATGGCTCAGCAGTTAAGAACACTGTTGTTGGAGAAGACCCAGGTTCAGTTCCTAGCACCCAAAAGGTGGCGAACAACCATCCTTATCTCCAGTTCCAGGAGACCCGATGCCCTCTTTTGGCCTCTGTGGACACTGCACATATGGGTGCTCTTGCATACATACATGCAGGCAAAATACTCATACACATAAAATAAAAATTTATAAAAAATTCATGGGGCTGGAGAGATAGCTCAGCAGTTGAGAACACTCACTGCTCCTCCACAGGACTTGAGTTCAATTCCTAGCACCCATACACTGGCTAACAACCGTTCATAACTCAAGTTCCAAGGAAACTGAAACCTTCTTCTGGCCTCCACAGACACTGCATGCACCAGTGCCAGTGCATTTACACACATGAAAGCAAAACACACACACACACACACACACACACAAATAAATAAATAAATAAATAAATAAATAAATAAATAAATAAATAAATAAATAAATTTATTTAAATTACTATTCACAGTAGAAAGCAAGAAATCGCAAACCTTCCCATCGTTGCCTTCTTAACACTTGCCAGGTTTTGGCTTCCTTGTTTGCTGTTTGCTTTTCAGTACTGGGAACCGAACCTGGGGCTTTATACATGGTAGCAAGTGCTCTACCATCCTCCCCAGCCCCTTTTTACTTTTTATTTTGAAAGAATACCTAAGTTGCCCAGGTTAGACTCGAACTTACAATCCTCCTGCCTCATTCTCCTGAGTTGCTGTTGAACTGTTTTTAATATAAAGTAAGCATTAAAACATACCATTAATAACAAATATTTTGCCAGGTACAGTGGTACACACTTTAATCCCAGCACTCAGGAGGAAGAGACAGGCAGATCTTTGTGAGATCAAGGCCAGCCTGATCTACATAGCAAGTTTCAGGCCAGCTGGGGTTACCGGGAGACCCTATCTCAAAGAAAGAAAAAAAAGGCTTGAGCTTCAAGAGACCCTGTCCTGAAAAAAAGAGAAAAAGAAAGAAAGAAAGAAAGAAAGAAAGAAAGAAAGAAAGAAAGAAAGAAAGAAAGAAAGAACACGAATATTTTGGGTTTTATGCAACCTCTAATAGAGATTTTAAGTCATCTACAACCCATGAAAGCCACTGCACAAACAGTGCTCTGACAGAACACATGAATACATGAACATTCCCATGGTACAAAACATAAGACACAAGAAGGATTTAGTTATCAATTGTGTACCACAAGCTACCAGAAACATTGGTGACACTGCCCAATCTCTTCTTCCCTTGGTGAGCAATTCGCAAAATAAAAGACTAATACTTGAGTAAGATCTGCTTCAACTATTCAGTGAGTTCAGAAATTCAAGGTAAACACTTAGGAATACATGAAAAAGATGTCCTGCAAGGGCAGGAAGACAGACAGAGCAGAAAGCCTTGAGATGAAGTGCTAGCTGGGTATGGCATGCCGGTAAGCCCAGCACCCTGGAGGGTGAGGCAGAAGCAAAGGACAGAAGCTCAACACCAGCCTGGGCTACAAGGTGAGACCCTGCTGAAAACACAGGGAGGGGAGAAAAAAGGGAGGGGAGAGGATGCTAGCAATACTGATATTAACAAATTCCATTCATGTGTATAGTATATGTCATCAGCTCTATTTTCAAATTGTATCAACCAAGGCTTTAAAAAGTTCTATTTTGTATACTTTCATAAATAATGAGAATTATGAAATATGAATTTTCATTCCAATGTATCGAGATACTTACAAGCCTCTGTGTCCTTCAAATCAAACAGTAAGGTTAATAAATAAATCCAATTGGTTCGTGTGTGTGTGTGTGTGTGTGTGTGTGTGTGTGTGTGTTGCTAGGGCTCAAACCCAGGATCTCATGTATTTGCTAAGAAAGCGCTCTACCACTGAGTCACACCCCAGTCCATCTAACTATTTTAAATTATTCCTTCATAATAAAGGCAAGCTTCCCCTTTAAAAGTTTGAAAGTGTGTATTAAATGAATTACCAAAAAAGTTGTTGACTTTATCCACTACAAAAATAATAGCTCAGGAAGCAGGAAGATCTCAAGTTAGAGGACACCCAGAGGAGGTATACAGTTAAGTTAAAGGCTGATCAAACTCGAACACCTATAAGTACATGGATGGCACAAACTGGACTCAGTGGGTTACTTAAAAAAATAAGAAGGCAGAAAGTTGGGAGGGGGTGGACAGGTGGAGGGAATCTGGGAAGAGTTATGGGGGGGATAAATATGATCAAGATAAATTGAATGAAAGTCCCAAAGTATTAATAAAAATATATTTTAAAAACCACTATAATATAAACATGTTCTACAAGATAATAAAAAGATGCATATCTCAATAATTAATCTAATTATTAACTTCCCATTAGTCACCATTAATATTAATTTTACATTCTGTCATTTACTACAATAAGGAAAATGACAGGTACTGACAAATACTACTCTTAATATGCACAATGTGGTAGACCAAATATTTAAATACAGCTCAAATTTCAAAACATAATTTGTATTTAAATAAACTACTATAATATATAATGGGGCTGGCAAGATTGCTCAGTGGGTAAAGCACTTGTCACACAAGCCTGAAAATCTGAATTCCAATCCCCCAAAGCCTATGTGAAGGAGGGAGAGAACCAACTCCTGAAGTTGTCCTTTGATCTCCACACTTGCACCACAGCATGCACCCCAAACATACACATGTCATACACACACGATAATAATAAACAATTTTTTAAACAATTAATGATCTAGTCTCCTCTGACCCAATTTAATATTCTGTGCTCCAGGTTCCAGGATAAAGTTAATGGAGTCAAAACAAAGATGCCTGACATTGCAGTAGCTTTGACACATGCATCTCTGATTAACAATGAACAGCAAAAACTGCTGAAATGGAATGACAAATGCTCAGGAAAATGAACGTGACTGAAAAGTTCCCACTCTGTTATAATGTGCTCATCTACACTCCATGCAACTAGATGAAGTGAACAGAAGCAAGACTGTGTCTACCTCCCTAACTGTTCTAATTGACAAATACAAGAAATGAGCTAATATATTAATGTCTAATAGTTATACAACTCAGAAAAAAAAGAATACAAGCATGAGGGGAATGGCCTGTCTTATAAATCTTCATGGTCAACAAAATGTGAAACATGCATTATATTGAATTATATTATAAAGTTTATAGGATAGGATCTATATTTCTACATGGTTATCTGTACTATATAACATTGTATCAAAGAAAGTATACTTTTTAAATATTATTTTTATTTGTGTGTGTGTGTATGTGCTTGCATGAGTTTATGTGCACTATGTGTGTATAAGTGCCCACAGAGCCCAGGGAGCTTTGAATCCCATGAAGTGAGGTTACAGGCAGTTGTAAGCTGCCTGATGTGGGTGCTGGGAAGCAAACCCAGGTCTTCTGCAAGCGCAGCAAGTGCTCTTAACCACTTTCCCCAAGAAAGTGCTTTTGTGGGGAAGGAATGCCATCTACTACCTAGTTCTTCATACACAATAGATACCCAGTAAACATCTGTGTCATCCTGCAAACTTCATGAAGTATGGATGGCCCCACAATTCAATGAGCCAATTCCTCAAAAACTAATCAACTTCACTCAGGTTGTAGAGGCAGATGGACCTCTGTGAGTTTGAGGCCAGCCTGGTCTACATAGTGAGTTCCAGCCCAGCCAGAGCTACACTGTGAGACCCAGTCTCAAAACACCAAAAAGAAGAAGAAAAACACACCTAATCAACTTATCTTCATTTTCTCTTCCTCTCCTGTTCCCTGCCTCCCTTCCCTTTTTAAAATTTCATGCATAGAACTTCACACAGTATAAACTTTAGTATTAATTTTGTGTGTCTGAGCACAAACTTTGGAATTAGAATCTATGCTTATTTCTGAACTTGGAGTAGTAGATGTTGCAGGAGTGGAAAAAAGATGGAGGAAGAGAAAAGATAAATAAAATATTTCTTCAAGTTTAAAATCCTTCACATAGCACAATCCCATTATTTCTCTAACTACAGTAGGTTAAGTATTTGACAACAGCTCAATAAAATAGCTACACGAAACAAATCACAACAACTCAAGGATAATATATGAGGAGAAACTTATGTTACATACAACAAACACAATGAAAATGTTCTGGCAAGGTAAAATTCTGTTTCTTAAAATCATACTAATAAATAAAGGCATCCATAAGAATGCCAGAATGACACCACAGCTGAAACCCACTGCTGACTGCATCAGTCAGTGCTATAAACGCAAATGCATACAACAGGAAATAAATGATTTGGTACATACTTGTGACAAAAAATTTTTTTGTGAAAGTACAGCTATCAAAGGCAGCGATTTTCTCCTGCAAGACTACGACGAGGATCCTAAAATTAGAGGGAAAACCAGAATGGAAACGTAAGTGAATGTGAAATCCCATGAGCTCAATCAAAACTAAGTTAAATCATAAAGATTTTAAAATAAAACACTTCTTACAACACATAGGGTAGAAATCACATAAACAAGTAAGGGACTGAAAAATCCTACGACTGCAAAAAAAGGTTTTCTCTAAAAATGGTTTCATTTTCATTTATCTTCGATTAAATAAACCAACATTAAGAATGGTCAATATTAATCAACACTTGGCTATTTACTACAAGTAGTGTTCAATTATATTTAAAGTCATAAAATTAAAAATAAAATAGATTTATTTAAACTCTCACATGATGGCTGAATCTCCCAACACATACACACACAGCAAAATCTAAGACATTTACCAATCAAAGGAAGGAAGTCATTTCTGAATGATTCAATACTTAATAATCCATATAAGTAGTAATTTCAGATATCAAGATTTACAAATAATCAGGATAAGAATTTAGAAAATTAGAACTATGTTGTATTAATGGTTTTTGTAATGCTTTAAAGTAAAATTTCTAAAATGTATCACATATTGAATTATAGTTTCCTATTCCTTATAGAATGCAAATTTCCGAGTTTAATGATTATTTCATGTAAAACAAGTAAAGCATTATCATTACTAGAAAATTTATATAATATTAGTTTCAAATTTGAACAAATAAATCTAATTGATAAATGCTAATAACTGACGGGAAAATATAATTTCTTTATTTAAAAATGCAACCTTCAGCAAATTTTCTTGTGAAATATTAAAAGTTTTCATTTGCTGATGCAGAACTCTACTAAGTAATTACTATTACACTTTTATATCTTTATTATTATTCAGCTGGCTGTGTTGAAGACTTCTCCATTGTTTACTGCATTTTTTCTTGTCACTAAATAATAACTTCTTATATGCTTATATGTGTACTTGTGTATCTCCATAGAGGAGATAATATGAAACTTTAGGAACACTTAACAAATGGAGTAAACTCCATTTGTGTCTGATTACAAAGTAGCACCCGAGTGTGTTTCCTTAGTTAGTGGTTATCACGTTCGCCTCACACAAAATAACACCCTAAACCATATCACACCCTTCATCAATTCAAAATACTCAACACTTTCATAGAAGAAATGGCATTTTCACATGTAAATATTATTTACCAATATCTGTATTGATCCCTTATACACAATACCCATCATAAAAAATATTGAATAATGGAGCACACAAAAAAGAAATGATGGGCTTAAGCACCAGTGTGGAAGAGGGGACCGAAAGATTGTAAAAGCCAGAGGTTGGACAGAACTGGAGAGAAACAGTGTCTTCTGGGCAGGACAGGAGCACTGCCCTCATGAACTCACAGCAGCTGTGGCTGCCTGCACTAGAACAAGCCTGCCAACATTCTAGCATAGGATGGGGACAATCTGAGCCCCACTCCTAACTGAGCAGTTATGGACAGGTGCTAGCTTCTGGGTGCAAGACAGTCAGTTTTCCTTAAGGGTGCTGACCACACTCCAGTGATGGTCTCATATTCAGAAGCATGTAAGCAGCACAAAGTGGAGTCCGTGGTTTATTTAAGACAGGAAATGGGGGGTTAAGAGATGGCAGTAGGCCCAGGAGGAGTTGAGGGTGACTATGATCAAAAGACATTGTATGAAATTCTCAAAAGAATTAATAAAAACATTTTGGATAAATAAATTTTTTAAATTTTTAAACAGGATAGATCGTAATATAATATTGAACTTTTTTAGACATTTATTAAATAATTTACTATGAATAAAACGCTATTACAAATAAAACAAAAGAAAGAAACTGTGGCCTATGACTAAAAATCAATAGAACCTTTTCAGGTGTGATAGTGTACACCTGTAATTCCAGCATTCAGGAGGCTAAGGCTGCCCAGACTAGGTAGGTAGGTAAGAAGGAACGTAGGTAAGTAGGTAGATAGGTAAGTAGGTAGGTAGGTAGGTAGATATAGATAGACAGATGATAAATGATTGATGATAGGTGATAGATGATAGATAGAAGATTAGATAGATAGATGATAGATAGATGATTGATAGATGATAGATAGATAGATAGATAGATAGATAGATAGATAGATGATAGAGACAGACAGATGATAGAAAAACTGTTTCAAGAATAACAGCTACAGCAGCAGCAACACACACACACACACACACACACACACACACACACCCGCACACACGCACGCATGCAAAAACTCAAAAGATTTAAGGAAGACGTAATAAAATCCCATGCAAATAAGCCCTAGAAAGGAGCCCCACTTTAAGAGGCTCAATACTTAAAGTGCTTGCATGAGGACTGCAGTCTGGATCCTCAGAATCAACATAAAGGCCAGGTGGGTATGGCAGCCTGTCTGTAATTCCAGCCTCAAAAGCAGAGACAAGGGATTCCCAGAGCAAGCTGGGCAGCAAGACAGTGGTATCAGTGAGTTCTAGGTTTGTCTGCGAGACCACTCCTCAACGAGAAAGGGGAAAGCCATAGAGCATGACTCCCAATCTCGGGCCTCCACATGCATGCAAAACTATAAAACATGCACGCACGCGCGCACACACACACACACACACACACACACACGCGCAAATACAAGGAGAAAAGAAAAAGGAAACCTATAATCCCAGCAGCCGGAAGGTTGAAGGGTTGAAGGGGGAGTTTGAGGCCAGGCTGTACTATATAGTAAGACCCCATCTCAAAACACAAATGAAACAACAAAATTCTGTGCCGTGTATTCCACCCCACTCCTCTAAAAGAAACCTGTAGCTAAAAACAAAACTGCATGTGTGGCTAGAATGAGCAAATAAGAGAAAAAAGAATTCACAACTCCTATATCACTGATACTCATAGTGATTACACGGACCAAGGACAAATGTTACAAACTACTGCAAGTCAGACAACCTAATGATTAAATGTCTACAAAAACACAAATTATAAAAAACTAGTGCCAGTAAATTATGATATGATATAAATAATTTGGTTTTAAAAACTAGTTCCACAAAGAATTTTAAAACCTGAGTAACTTTATACATATAAAATAAATTGAAGGTGTTCAATTCCTACCAAAAAAGTAGAAAGATTTTTTTTAATACTTAGATCGATAACTCATCTAGAACTGATGGTGGTATAGAATTCAGGATTTTTTGTCCTGTATTAACATCCAAGTACAGGAACAATCACCAAAAACACTGATTCTGCAGTGGTGCCTTGGAAACTCCTCTATTCATGCAGAGCATCTGGCCCTGGATTCTATTCTCTTGCTAAATTCTCTTTTTGTCACATCAGACCTTACAAACTACTGCACAGTAGCTCATTGTGATCAAATAGTAACCAAGCAGTGACAACACTGAAATAATTAACCTGCCACCCTAGAAAAAGTTCTTTACTATGGGATTGTTTACTGTGTGTGAGAGTGTGTCTCTGTCTCTGTCTGTCTCTGTTCTCTGTCTCTCTGTCTCTGTCTCTCTGTCTCTCTCTCTCTCTCTCTCTCTCTCTCTCTCTCTCACACACACACACACACACACACACACACACACACACACACACACAAAATATCCCTTGCTTCTTCAGATGTGGGCAAGTTTCCTGTATATAGTCTAGGTAGGCCTCAAACTCTGGATCCCCTGTTTCAGCCTCCCAAGGGCTGGGATTCTAGGCATGGGCCATCAGGCCCACCAGCTATATACTCTTTTTGAACATCTCTAATTCAAGGTTCTATGAGTATGGGTCTAAGCATCTGTCACTAAATTTGTTCCTTGAGTTGTAATAGATTTTTATGCTAATTATTATGTTAAACTTTAAAATTTTTACATTGTGTTTGCTAATTTTTACATGAGTAATTACAACTGATTTCAAGTAAATATAATGCTAAATTGTTAATATGAACAATTTAAAGTAGCTTCACAAATCTAAGGATTAAGTCCATCAAGTTCTCAGAAAAATACACAAGTATGAATCTCCATAACCTACACAATGTCCTGTCCTGAAAGTCACAATCCTCCCACAGCCTGGGGCCTAGGATTTCAGTAGGCTACTACACCCAACTCATTCTTAGAGGTACTACCAAACTAAAACAACTAAGGAAAAAATAGGCAAAACTGAGCATCATAATTTCAAAAGAACTTTTGTGCTTCAAAGAATACAATCAATAAAATAAAAAGATAATTCGGGCAAAAGACTTGCAAGTAAAATCTAGAGGGCTGGGACTTTATGTCAGTGGGAGAATGCTCACCCATCCTACACAAGACCATGTATCTGATTCTCAGCAATAAAAGGAAAAAAGAAACTTATCCAAAATATATAAAAAGTATAGGGACCAGGCCAGGCATGGTGGCGCACACCTTTAATCCCAGCACTCAGGAGGCAGAGACAAGGCAGATCCCTGTGAGTTCAAGGCCAGCCTGGTCTACATAGTGATTTCCAGGCCAGCTGGGGCTACCGTAGGACCCTGTCCCAAAAAGACCAAAAAAAAAAAAAAAATTATGGGGGCTGAAAAGATGGCTCAGTAATCAAGAGCACTTGCTGCTCTTGCGGAGGACCAAGATTAGGTTCTCAGCATCCACATCATGTGGCTCACACATCAAGGACAGCCTGGGCTACACAGTGAGATTCTGCCTCAGAGAAAAATGGGGGTGGGGACAGGTCTGGGGTTGCAGTTCAGTAGGTAGACTGCTTACCTATCATGCAGGAAATTTTGGGTTCAATTCCCAGCACTGCATAAAACTGTGCATGGCAGCAGTGTCTATAATCCCAGCACTCAAGAGGTAGAGACAGGAAGGTCAAAAGTTCAAGTTCACCCTCAGCTACATAGTAAGTTGGAGGATACATGGAGTATCGTGGTATACAAGAAACCCTATCTCAAAAGAAAAAAAAAATCATTGCTGAACTTAACAAGAAAAAGACAAATTAGCAAATTCAAAATGGGCTTAGAATCAATAGGTATTTCTGCAAAGAAACAAAAATTGTTAA